TATTCCAGCATGTGTGGGTCTAATTACATTTTTGTTTTTTTTCTTGGAAGTTGTATCAAATCGGCAGAAAATTATGGTAAAAGTTACAAATTTTCTTGTAATGTGACTAATAATAGTGATATGAGATATGGCTGAAGCAATGATTAGCCCACCAGGTGTGGTGTGAAATAAAAGGTCAGTATGATTCACATAGTGCCTACCTGTAATCATGTAATCTACAGTTTACACCAATTCCAAAAATAAAATCTACATCTATTGGCTAAGGGTACAGAACATCAAAATTGCTTAACGGTTATGCTCATTAATTAAACGTATATATCATGTTAAACATACATTATGCAAGATCCCAATCTGCCTATTGCAGGTCTTTCTTTGGGCCTGAAATGTTATCTAAATTTTTAATTAAACATTAATTATCTTATCCAGACCATAATCAACTCTCGATGCCATCACTAGCCTGCGATATTTAGCAGATTAGAATACATTTTTAGAAAAATAACTTAATGTAAAAAATGATAATCAAGACTCTGTTTTTTATCATACAGACTTTAGTAATGATGATCGAGGCTAGCCTAAAATTTAAAAGCTAATATCTTGGTTCAGAAATTTTCAGCATAATTTTATTTATGATATCTATTTTTATAACTATTATACTAGTAGCCAGAACTGTCAACTCAAGTGGGTGGTTTCATTCACAAAGAAGAATAAACAGGAAATAATTGTTAAAATCTCAATTTGAGTCACCGATTTTTAAGGACATGCATTACTGTACATTAAATTTTTTGTTTCAAATGCTTTTAAATTTTATGATTAAACATGAAAATAATAAATATCCCCCCCCTCCACTTCTAGTCAATACATGATAATATGTATTGTTCTATACATGTTGGAACATATCAGATGATTTGAAGGGTGAATGTTATCACTATTAGAAGACTGTTAGATTATAATCAATCAGTGAGAGTGTTTCATGTTTTATCTATGTAGTATCAATGTTCTCTATGTAGCCGATGTATAAACATATACCAATATAACTAATGGACATAAAATAAGTATATATCCTGTCAAACAGCTTTATAAACTTTTAGGTGAAACAAACTTTTCTTTTGAGCAAAATGGGATGAATGATTGTCAATTAATACCTGATCACTTTTAATTTTTATATACACAGTTACAAACGTACAATAAACAAAAATTAGCTATGTAAATTTTGTGTATGTACCGGTATACACTGCTTCATGCATGACACATATCACTACTAAGAGAACAATTACATTTTAAAAAAGTTTGGTGAAACTTCGAGGAACTGTCACTTTGAATTCTTCACACACTGTTTTGAAATACTCTGGGTACCTTGGACCGTGCTGGATTCACCTTCCTTTTGTAACATATACATATGAATTATAGAGTGAAAAATAAACTAACAATGAATATAGAATGTATACTGTAGGTATCAAGTAGTTACTAATATATTATATTACAAGATGTTTATCATCATATATATATACACATACAATATCTATATTTAACCTTTACATACACATCTGTCAATTTCAAATCAAAATTTGACATATTCAATCACAACCACACCTTTTTACTACACTACAATGCATAATAATCAAGACATATGTATTGACCTATATCTTTAAATTTTTTAATAAATCTACTTTACTGAAAATAATAAACAAAAAATCTGTTCAGTGATATAGGTAGTGACGTCAGTCCGTAGGTGTCACAAACTTAATAATAAAATAATTACACCACAATCAATTAAAAATTATCAAAATTATTAATTTTATAATTCCACAAAATATAGCCAGTGTGGTTTTGTAGTTCTAGAGCTTAAAAGCAGAAAACTGATATCAACAATTAATGTTTAATTGCCCTGCCTATAAATAAATCAAATCAAACTACCTCTAGATCAAGTTACAATTTTATTAAATCTTTCAAAAAATATTTGAGTTAAAGTTAAAGGACAACTTCAATAAAAATCCTGACACCATTTCTAGCTTACTTTCCATGACTGAAAAATGCAAACCTATCTAAAAAAAACTGCACATTCAATATGACACAAGTATATATGAATTTCCGTGTAGGTGCAATATTAAGCATCTTTTAATCATCTTCTATAATTGCAATTAAATTAATCCATTGATATATTGCATAACTCATAATAAAAACTTTTTAAACAAGAAATCTTCGAAGATTCAAATGCAAAGAAAAAATCCAAAAATCTTAAGACACTCCAATAACATAAGAATTAGTCCACAATTATGTCATACACTAATCAAAAGTTGTCAAAGTTAACATGATGATACATACTTATAAACGCATGCTTGTAAAACCACATCTATAAGTTACTGTTATTTCTTAATTCAATAATATATCCTATCAAACACAACTGATATAAATTTCATACATGTGCTGCACAATGGTCAATTTGTGTCCATTCTGTCCCTTAAACTCTTTAACACTGAAGGTATAAATGGGTCAGCTGTCGGTCTGCCTCTCAGGTTCACCTGTTATTCATGTAGATTTGTCTCCTGGGTAAATAAATCTTATCTAGGCTTGAGTATCAAGTCTCTTTTCATGCTTCAGTTATCACAGTCATAGATTAGCATACTGGAACCCCAGGAGTCTATTGTAGGATTACACTGGATGATAATGCATACAATACTGTGTTACAAGGTTAAGTTAAAGAGCCCATGAATAAAAATAAAGATTGCAAAAAAATGTGAGATTATGAATAAATCATGCAAATACTACAAAAGTAGAAAAATGGGTCCTATAAGGGTGAGAGAGAGAAATGGGGTTTAACGTCCTCTTGACACAAACAAGGTCATTTTGGGACTAACACATGGTTTAATTTTATTTCAATAATTTGTTTGCGCGTAGGGGTCTTTAGCAGTGGGTGAAATCGGATGATCCGGAGAAAACCCACGAGGTTGGAGTCCTCTATTAAGAAAAAAATGGTCATAATTTAAAGCTTCATAATTTGAATATGTGGAAAAACCATGTAGACGACACATGTACAATGTAAACAAAATATATTACCAAGAGTCTGTCTTATAGATGTTACCAGGTTTGTAGGTCTCATGCATCAAGCTGGGTATGCTTAATCTGTGCAGAAACCTACTATCACTTCTCATTTATTTGCAAACTTCATGGAATTTATCAGTTTTATTTTAAAATTCACCAGTCTAAATGCACTAAAGTCATTTCTTTAAACTTCAAATAGACTAGGTAATTATTAATTACATGTAAAATGTGGAGTAATCATATTTTCATTTTATGAAAGGAATAAATTGAAAACACATATTATTTATTTTTAAGATTTAATTTCTCATTTCTAGACTTCCCAATGTTCACCCACTCACACATTTGTACTCGAAACTAAACTGAATGAAAATGATCGCTTGATAACTGTGACTACATCAAAGCTGACTATTCTGTGTATAAAATGTAAAGTGTTTAGGGACTAATAGTTCAAGTGTATTCTATCAAACCACTAGGGGTGCATATTGTAGTCAGAAACTACATTGCAATATTTCATGTTGTATGGATTTTTAATATACAGTAATAAATAAGCTTTATTTTATTTAATAATGTAATATGAATAGGTGACTATTCTGTCCCTTGTTGAGGCATTGCTTCATCAAAATATTGCAGTATCCTTATATTGAAATATGTTGATATACTGATATATATATTGTAACAGGTCACAGATTACACAAGAGTCCATCATCTCTGTGCAGACCATATAAATTGTTTTATTTTTTTGCATTTCTAAATAAGCTAGATGTATAGATAATATTTTTATACACTCTGACAAATAAACATGTTGGCATTATCATTAGAAACTATTGAAATTAATGTAAACTTCAAGTGTCCATAACTGAATTCAGAAACTTTTTAAATTTTAAACTTCTCAACGTTTTAATCTTCACACAGATGAAAATTTTCAAAATTGAAGTTCGAACATAAAACATATTTTAGTAATGTGTCTTGACAAGGGTGATTAAGTGTGGTTTTGTCTTTTTTTCCCCCTCTATTCCATGGGCTGTCGTTCCTTTAAGGTTCACTTTCAAAGGGGCTCAGTTTAGTAAATAAAGATGCAATCTCTTGGTTAATTAGATCATTTAGGTAATAGATAAGAATAATAGATAGGAAGACAGACAGGTCACCTAACTATAATAAGGTACCATACAGTTTATATAGGTTATTTGATGACTACCATACATGCACAGTAAAATTTCAAGAATTCAGAGACTCAGTATGGTAGGGTTTATTTGTACAATGAGGAGCTTCAACGACTAATACTAATACTATAAACAATGAGACTGATTGTTTAGTACCATAATAAACATATTGTTTAATAGAAATGCACTGTATTGTGTTTCTTAAGACATACATTTAATGATGACTGTATTGGATAAAAATTGTTTATGATAAGTTTATCAGGTTGTCCAGTTGAATCACCGGTGCCTGTGATTCCGTCCATCAAAGATTTATCTTTGTTTTCTCTGTTTTTATAAATATCATTAATACAGGTACAACACAAAGTTTAAAATGTTAGGTAATAATTCAGCAGTGCCTGATATATTGTCAGCAACAGTTAAGATGATTATTTCCAGACCTCAATGTCTATTAAGATGGATTCCAATGGAAGCATCATGAGTTTGTATTAATAAATGATCACATTTTATAGGTTTTGAAAAATTCATTTTAAAGATAGCAAATTCTGTTTTCAGCCAGATTCTGCACTCCCCAGATTTTTCAATGAAAAATTATTGCTCCTAGACACTGTGTTCTTAAGTCCCAAAATCTTCTTTGAAAATGACCAAAATATTTAAACAATTTATCTGGGATTCTGAGGCATTAAATCTTGGGAAAAATTTAATATTGTAGTCTTATATGAATATTTCTCTCTACTCATTGTGCAAAGAATTTTGACTGATAATCTTGGAATGTACCCTCTATGTTGTGATGAGGAAAGATAACTTACTTTTTAAGTTTTTTACTGCTATATTTAACATTATATGATATCTGAAGTAACTGTTCTGGATCTTGTTCAAACTTAGTTCGAAGATCTTTCTGAAAATACTGAAATATAAAAAATATTAAATTCTTTAAAAGAACCACAAGCTTAAAATCTCGAGAATTCACCTAACTTTGACATATGACTCATGCCCTTGTGGTCTTTGGCATTTTTCTCACAATCATATAATACTGTGATTCTATATTCCGTATTTATTCTAAATGTATGGTGATTCGTAAACTAGTACATTAAACATACATTATGCAAGAGCTAAATCTGCCAATTGCAGGTCTTTCTTTAGAGGCCTGAAATGTTATCTAAATTATTAATTAGACATTAATAAACTTATCCAGACCATAATCAACTCTCGATGGCATCGCTAGTCGCGATTTTTACTGGATTACAACCCGGTCTGCTGCTTCTGATTAAGTCAAAAATTGGATAACCAAGACTATGTTTTTTATTGTACCGACTTTAGTAATGATGATCGAGGCTAGGCCCCACATTCAATCGCTAAATAATCGGTTCAGGGTGGATCAATTTGACTGAAATTTTCAGCAAATTCCCTTTACATTATCTAATTTTTAACTATTATAGTGAGAACTACCAGCTCTTTATCTAATCTCCCATAATGTATCTTTAAAACTATTTGAGGAAAATTGTTAATACCGTGATAATGCTAACAGTTGTATTAATATCCACTCTGTACAGTCAAATTCATCACTGATAGAAACTTCATTTTAATAAAAATACATGTTTGACAAGCAAAAATGTGAAAACATGGATAACATTTCACTGTAAGACTTTGGTTATCATATAATTAAATACATTTGAGCATAAAAATTCACTGGCTTATATGATAAATAGATAAATGTCTTAGGTTGGAAAAGACAGTGGTGTGAAATCCACAGAAACCATTGCAAACTTTGAATATCTTTAACTTTAAGTTAAAATTAAAACATCTAAATAATGTTTGGACAAGATTTAAAAATAAGAGTAGTTTTACATGTCACTTTTATTTTGGCATGTTGGGGTTTTAATGCAACTGTGTCACAGATCAATTTAGAATATGATATTTTTAACATGAAAATAAAAAAAATACCCATGTATTATATAATATAGATCATTTTAGAATAAGAAACTTTTTAACAGGAAAATCAAAGAATAAACATGTAATATATATAATATACTTACACGTAACATTCCCTCCATATCTAGTGCTAATAATGCTTCTTGACTAGTCTGTAGTATGGCTATAGCTATACGAAATATAGCATCCATTCCCTGATAGTTAAATACAAATATATAGATTATAAGATTAGGACTAACTCTTTATCATTAACTCTTAATAAATTGTATTCCAATCATCACCTATTGGTTGATTATAAATTACAATCCAACCAATCAATTAAACAACCTTGATTTCAAATAAAGGGATACACCCATTAATCAGACGATATTAAGAATCTGTTCACTATCAAATAACATAGGATTATCTCTTTTAACACTGAACTCATCAGTGGATTGGAGGATTAAAACATGATTCATGAAATCAAACACAGGATTAAGTCATATAAGATTAATTAGAAAGGGGTGTCACATTATTTTTATTTACATAGAAGACTCCCTCAACCAAAAGGAAAACAACTGAACAGTCATTGAATAATACAAGAAGAAGATTATCCGATTAACACTCTAGTTGTAGATTGAATTGCCAATAAACGTGTTTTGTAAAATTGATCATGTGCTACATAATTATTGAGTTAGCTGTATCGTAAAGAAATCCATATAACAAAGAACCATCTAACTTCTGGACAATCTCATTAAAACTAGATTATAATTAAACTTTGTTGGGTTTTTTTCTGATTTTTTCTGATTCTACATTACCACAATATTTTGTTAATATCAGACAGTTCTTTTCCAATTGGTTACAACCCCTGATGCGGATTCATCTTTTTTAAAAAATGTGTTTAAGAACCACTTTGCTGGAGAACTTTCCAAAAATGTCATGGTTACGTTTTTGGGGGAAATAATACAAGGAAAGTAACAAACAAAACAGGGTACCAAGTGAAACTGTGACACTGGTTATTTGCAGAAGTAAAATTTGAACATTGAGCAAATATGACTTACCTCAGATATAAATAAATCCATAATACGACATGCCATGGCCAGAGGAAATGATGTGGTATATAACGTCAGAAACCATGATGATGCATACATTGATGTATAAAAATTCTGAGCATTAAAATGGACCTGTAACTCAGGTAATAATTCCTGCAATAGATAAAGAAAATCTGAAAATAATGTTCTGATGAAAACTATTATTTATTCAGGGTTTCACCTTTTCGTAAGTTCACTAGATTCAGTCAGATATATTTTTTTTGGAAATTGCATCTCAATATAATCAACTTCAAAATATACCCAACCTTGTCAAATAGACTTTTGTAATATACTCTTCAAAAAAAGTAGGGGATATTGAAATGCAAATAATTATGCAGGTTGTGATATGATAAATAGTCATAGATACTTGACATGCTTTGAGAGTATGTTCACAGATGAAGAAATTAACGCCCAAACAGAACCACTGAGCTGCACGTCCAACACGCAATAGCGCCATACACGTGGGAGGGGTTCATTGTCAAATTTGACACTTCAAGGAAGGGTTGATGAAAACTGACGCTTGCTGGTTTATCCTATCCATGTTTGCTTTCCTATCGGTTCTTGCATAAGATTTACTGTTTAGCGTATCTTTGCTTTAGTGTGTTACATTTAATTTGATCGGGAGACGTGTTCGTCACATAAACGCCACCGGACAACACTGCAAGAATTGGCCGTGGCACTGCAAGAGGAGTGGGTCAGATTGCCCCAAAGCGTGATTGGACGGTTGATTAGGAGCATGCTACGACGAATTGCTGAATGTCTGAGGATTGGTGGAGCACTTACTCATTATTATTTTATTAAGACAAAAATCAAAAACATCCATTTTCACTTTTGACAGTGTATCTCTTTGCGAGTGAAATGGGGCCGTCAGATAAGCCGCCCATCTGAACTGTTTATGTTCATGTGTAGGCAATTGGCCTGTTATTAACATACACTGGTTACCTCTAATAAAAACAGCAGTGCATTTCTGTAGTTTTGCATTGTTTCTGAATATCCCCTACTTTTTTTTGAAGAGTATATAATTAACTAAACTAATATGTGTAGCTATACAAGGGAGATAATTTCTTGGTGTTTCTCTTAACAGATTTCATGACTCTTGTTTCAGTCATTTTTGCCAGTCTTGACTGGTTGAATGTTAATTAACTGTCTGGAGAACAGTCAGCAAATTAACATGTCATAGAATTAGAATTTCAAAGAACTTACCCATCAAACACAATAAATTGTTATTGAGACATATCAATATTCAAAAAAAAAGAAAAAATGAAATGGGGCTTAACATCCTACTGTTATGCTCCAACTGGGCTAATGAAGACGGGCATACACCATACAGTGTGTTATGAGGGAAATTTTGTCCAGACAGTGGTGGTATATCGAATTCCAATGGCCAAGAGATCTTTTAATTACACGCCAATGTGTACACAGAACCTTGGTTTTTTGTCCCATCCAAATAACACAGCTATTCTGCACCACTGACAAGGGGAAACCACTACGGAAAATCCTATTGAAAATTTTCAGACAACATGGCTAGCCAGTCAGCGACTTCCTCACTTAGCCACAACACTTTATGTTTATTATATATTTCAGTATTTTAGAGGTAACTATGATATTCAGTTATTATAAATTTTCAAGGTAATTATTGGTAAAACATGAAAATTTAATTCTTAATAAGGTAAAATTTTTGAAACAGAACTGTGTAATATAGACGAAAGATATATCACACCTGAATGAGACATTCCAGTTTGAACATACACAATCCTAATTCAGCCATACTAGGTTTAAATAATTCACGCAGACGATAATCCACCATTAATTTAACTAACACAGCAAATGTCTCTTCTTCTGGCATCTATAAAATATATAATAATTATTACTTAAACATACATAATGCAAGAGCTAAATCTTCCTACTGCAAGTTTTTATTTAGGCTTCAGATGTAATAGAATTTCTTAATTAGACCTTTATTTACACAAGCACAAAATCAACTACGTAGACCTCAGATGGCTTGGATACAGCTTGGATTTAAACAGTCAGCCATTTAAAATTAAATCAAGAAATGGGCGACCAAACTAACGTTTACCGTCACTGACGTCACTAGCGGAAACTGGTGATGAAATGCCTACCAAGCAAGGGTACCATAGCCATTGAAAATGTTATTTGATAATCAAGAATATGTAGGTGGCGTTTTATCATCTATTTTTGAAATTATTATAGCAAGAATGGCCAAATCTTTATTAAACTCTTAACTAATGTATCTTTAATTTAACAAGAACTGATAGCTGTTGTTCACTAGGTAGGGCATACATTTATCATTGATTTAAAGAACATATAGCTAACAATATTGTAGTACCATTTTCATTCATTAAGACAATATGCAATTTTGTAAACAAGGCCTAAGATTAAAACCAATTTTGCTTTGGGGTTACTTCAACTCAGGGCTTCCACTTCAAAATTTTCACTGCCGGTCATTTTTGATAACGCACGAAAATTTTTCAAAGTAAATTCATATTTCATGTTTTTTATTCATGGTAGGGTATTGTGAATTCACGTGTCTATACCACTTTGTCACCATGGGGTGCACAAAAAAAAATATATTTGACTTAAAAATGAAATATTAGTAAGGCTCATGATAATTATTTAATAATTAAATATTCCGTTTTGGCTACTTAAATAACGAAATAGTTGAATTGGCCGGAGAAAAACCATTTCAGTAGCTCACACGTAATTAACACGTGTTCTTTAGAAAACACACTGACCTGGATAATTTTGAGTTGTAATACAATAACTTTGAAATGAAGATATAGAGAATCTCCTACCAGTCTTTTTTGATATCAAAAAATATCAACACAAGTTGATAAAGTAACAAAAAACGAGGCTCTGCTGAGTTTTTTTTTACTTTATCAACGAGTGTTGATATTTTTTGATATCAAAAAAGACGAGTAGGAGATTTTATTTATCACCCAATCCCTATTTACATGCACAAATAGACAAATATAATTCTTTGATGTAGATTTCACTTTTACTGAACATTATAGCATAGTGATACATCATTTTTTGACAGCAAAAGTCCTTTATATTGACCCAGTGTTTCCATCAAGGTCAATTGAATAACAATAGTTCATTTTTAATAAAAAAAAAAGTTACTTTTAATAAGAAATGAACTATTCTTTGAAAATAAAAAAAAAGTAGTTCCTTTTCAACTGACCAATCAAATTCATGTAAAGCGATATCTCCTAAGGATATATCGCAGTAGATTATGAAATATATCACACAAGCGTATCTACTGTAGAATGTATTATTGGGTGATAAAAATATATAATTATCCATGGCATATATCTCACATTTTTTTGGTTTTAGACCATCTCTTACGGAATTACGGGCCGCAGAATTGTGACGTAAATCCTAATAATGTATAACTAAATGACTAACGGATAACTAACTTCACGGCTAGCGACACTAGCGCCCCCTAGAACATGGTCGTGTATAAGAGTAACCGTATATACAACGACGCTTCTACACGTGGAATTATCAATATTGTTGCACAATAGAACTGGAATACGTATTTTTCTTAATTGTTCGGTAAGCAAGTTAACTAATCTCTAGAATTTATTTCAACAATTTCTACAAGGCCGTAATACCGCTATAAACATTTTTAAATGCATTTTTCTCCCAACACGTAAGTTGATTAGATTCCCACTTATCAATTAACATTTATTGTTCTACTACCAGACACTCTGTTGACGACTATATATACAACTCTACAACACCAATCACGAGATTGGCTTCTAGACGACATGCATTCTTGTATAGTTACACAGTGAAGGTCGATCGTAGCCATGTTTGAAATTGTTTTTTTTTTAAAAAAAAGACCCTCTTTCCGGCGTGCAAAATGACCGTTAGGTCAGATCTAGGAACGGTCATTTTCCATAGCCATAGGTCTCGACCGGCATATACAGCTTACGTGGAACCCATGCTTCAACCACAAGTCAAATTACATCAAATATGTTTTTTGCAAGCCTGTGTAATTATAAGATGAAAGAAAACTCCATATTGACCTCTCAGACCATTCAGAAGTCATGCACTAGCTTTAGTGTTAACAAAATGGCTCTACAAGTGACCTCAAAAGTACCCAACCAATTCCATGAAATTACCCTGTTGATATGTAACATTGCCAGGTCAGGCTGTTAGAAGTTCAAACGAAAATTCTATATCCCTTAACAAGTACACAATATTACCAAATACAATTTAATGCACATTACGTTACTTCAGGCCCCAATATTAAGTCCAAAAATATAAATGGCTGAGGAATTAAGGCTAGAGTAAAAGATATCAAGACACTCACTGCCAATTACCTCTGTTTCCCTTGCAAGGGTTAGTTCAAATAACAGAGTTTTACCCTGCTTCATAGATTTCCTTCCACTGATAAAGAATCTCAAAACATTATTTGTTTCCCATAATTATTGAATATTCTCACCTGCATCAGTAAGAGACCAACAATAAAACCACTGCCTTGACAATAACCAACTTCTCTATCATGCAAAGAATACGCCTTTAAAATATCAAAACAAATTTATATTTACTACATTTATTACAAATCAAAAATCAGTTTTGGTGTAGCATCAACATTAAACAAAGATCGACTGGTACATCAGGTAAAATACAAATAAAATTCTGACAAAACAAAAATATAGAAAAATGGTTTAAATTTTATATTGAACTAATGAGTAGAATAAAATAAGAATAATGACTTCAAATATTTGAATAGTTAAATCAGCATTCATGGTTTCCAATTTAAATTACATCAATTTATTGTTTATTACTATGAGTCGTGTCGAAAGATGGGTGTCATGCATGAGGTAGGCCATGATTTCTCTTTCTAGAAAACTGTATTAGATAACTTATTGAACAATATCTCTACTTTTAGAAACCAATAGAGCTAACTCTAAAATTTTCATTGCATTGTTTTATACATTTTAAACATTATATGGGAGTCTCCATAATGTCAAAGTCGAAAGGTTTGAGAGAACAGTCATATTTGTCCATGCTGTGATTGTGTGCGTCATGTAGCATAAAAAAGTCATCTAACACAGTCAAGGTAGCAGACATACATTGTAACAAATTGATATTGTGACGAAGCCTGGAAAGATAAAGCAACCACCTACCTTCATAACATTAAATAAACTTTCTTGTCCTAACCCATCCTTCTCTTTAAAAAAATCATGATCTGGAAAAGTTCTGGCGATATCTCGACGGATGAGTTTCTCAAATGGAGATGTCTTCTTTAAGTATTCAACATAGAGATGTTTAGACGGAGAATCATGTACATTAAGTAAATACTGCCATGCTAAACCTCGAAAATGACTTGGTATTCCTTTCCTTACCAATTCCTGGAAGAATACGATTAAGATCAGATAATACGTCATGCAAAAGTCAGGTATGCTTACTCTTTAAAGAGCACCTGATACCACTTTAAAATATTAGTGTTTGATATTAACACAACTATCAATTTTTGTTATATTTGTTTATAAGTAATGTAATCACTTCATATATGTATGTACTGAAGCAGACTCCTCAAGTAAATCTGATTATTTTTATTTGTCAAAGATCAAAATTCTGTATGTAATTTCCTTCATATAAATAATTAGTCACAAAATATGTTTTGTGTTTTGAAGAAATTATTAAAAAGAAATATATATATTGGATATTACATGATGAAAAGGGGCTGACACGGCACATGATTTGATGCTTGGAGGATAACATTTGTAATTTCAAATTATCAAGGGGACGGGCTTCAAGGAGTTGGAAAGGTAGAAGTAATGTTTGTGAATTACTATTATATTTTTTCTTATACTTATTTATTAAAGCAATTCAATTTTCTATAGTAAATGTCTTTAAATGCACATTTTCATTTTAATAATTACATCTCAAAAGAATTCTTATTAAATTAATTTGAAAAATATGTTTGGCTGTAAATAATAATTATGGTTATGCAATGTACAGGAGGTATATATATTTCATAGAGATGATGAATGAATGGGATTGACTGAAAACGGGCATCCTCGCAGAAATAATTTCCACCAGACGTCGCTAGTAAAAACGTTGTTCCAAGTGACCTTATCGATGGTAAGAGGACTGTATTTCGAGGTATAGGGAGGTATTAAATAATGAGCAGGGCTAGAAATTCGTCATTTTTTGCGAGAATCTAAGAGGATTTTCATATATGCAATCTGCGCAAATTTTTCGAATCTTAATATTAATACTGACTAAAAAAAACAAAATTGTGTTTATTGCTTATCGCCAGTATCAGAAAATGCCGTAGCCAAAATAAGCTGATACAGCGCTGTGGCATTTCTTCATAACACAATTTGTAGTCCTTTGTCCATCACGTAACTTGAAAAAGTTGTTATTCATTCATCGATGATAGACAAATGGCACAATGATCGCGTGACAACCATAACTGAAATTGCTATAAAATAAAATTCTGTACGACTATGATATAGCCTTCAATAATATTTTTATAATTAAGCCTCTGTCAGTAGTGTATAAGGTAAACGCTAATTAGAACTGGTTTATTGACATAATTCCAACCGATATGTTACGTGTCACTGGAATTCGTCAATGGAGATTCTGTCGGGAAAATATCCACTGTTTCTCTCTCCATGTATTCGATGTTCTATCAGGGGATTATATTCAAAGAAGATTTAAATTTACCTAACAACTGGTCAGTGAATCCATCAGTTTATTATCCAGTTATTACTTTAATATCTGGACGGAGCGTGGAAGACGCACAATTCGGAAACCATGCTGAGACTGTCTTCAATGGCCATGTGGCTTATTTTACTGAACCTATTTGTATTACTATTATGAATAATCAGCAAGCTTGTTTTGTTTATTTAACCGGATTATCAACATGACCATGAAATGTGCTAATTACTCGAATTATGAACCACATATGGCCGATTCTCACTAAGGTATGACTGCTGTGCATGTTGTAGCCGACAAGCAAGTTGATTGTCTTCTTAATTAACAAGTAATAATTAACCTGTCGTAATTTAGCCAAAAGTAGACTGATTATTTACGATACCATAGTGGCCGATTCATTGTTTTACCAATCGGCTTGAATAAACATCAATCGGCTAAAGTCGACAAAATACAACCCTATGGTGAACACTGACCCTGATTGACATTCAATAGTCGGACTCTTTAGAAAAATTTTAAGCGATTCCTTGTTGATTCGCGTAAGCTCTTGCGAGAATCCTTGCGCGAATTAGATTCGGAGATTCGCGCGAGAATTTCTAGCCCTGATGAGATCATGTGGGATCAACTCCTCTATGGCGTCACCTATAAATCATGCCCCTTTATTTCTAGTGAGGATGACCATTGTCATTCTTTTTATACTTTTCCATTTTAGATTGCATTTATAACAAAATATATTTAACTCAAGTCGTTCCTCATTGAAATAAATCCATTCCTACCAGATTCAAAAACTGCAAATGACATCAAATTACTGATACTTCTCTACTATAACTTTATAACATCATGATATTAAAGGACACATAACTTCCAAGCTATTACATATGAAATATTACACGTTACGTCTATTTCCATTAAATTTATAACATTTTTGATAGCGTATGTGAACAAAAACAAAAGGTAACCTTACATTGCACATGTGTCCACATTCATACGTTAAATGCTTACTAACGTAAATAGCAAGCAGGCCAAGTTGAAATGTTCCCAAGATATCTAACTCACTGTATACGCATTTCTATAGCCATTAATTACTATTGTAATAACTTGGTGAAGACAAAAATATATCAGGCAATCAGGGCAATTTGAATTTTTTGTATGTCAAAAGCAGCAGGCGATGCAGGCAGTTTGATACCTAATGGGTTAAAAAAAACTTAAAAGAACTAAAAAAGTAATGAAAATTAATAATCATACATTTTTAAATTGTTAGATGTATATGTTGTGTAGTTATAGCATGCATGCATGGTGGTCTTGTTTGATTTTTACCAGCCAGTAACCAAGTCCAATAAATTCTGACTAGAATTATGTTTTTAGGTTTGTGGTGTAAAATAGACACACGCTCTATTCAGCTGACTGTCTCAACCTTCTATTGCTTCATGCAGAAAAATCCAAACATATTTTATTTTTATTTTTTAAAGTGTTAAATCCAGATTTCACTGAATTTTGGATAGTTGAAATCATGTAAATAATTTATTTTATTTTCTTCAAAAAATAAACGACATGCATCATACCTATATCTTTCATTCTTGCTAATAATATAACCGGCAAAAATTAAAAAGGGAGTTCACATCATTAAAATGTTAATTAAAATTACAAAGACTGTTTTCAACATTAGAGTATGCATGCATTCTAATGTTCATATACATAGGACAACATAATGCCAAATTAACACATTGATCTCAATTAAATCAACTGTAAATTAATACAAAAGATGCATAATGGAATCACTAATCCAATTAGTCCCAGATATTGACATTTTGTAAGTGACATACACATATTCGAAATCTACATGTATTATCATTATAAAAATTTAAATTTCAGCCTTTATTTTGTTATGTGATTTGCAGCATGGAATTTTAGAGCAAGTGAGTTTCAGTGACGGAATATTTACTATTATTGGTTGTACAGATGTTTGTCTTAATCGAGACACTCCCCAAGAACATATATTTTCTTTAATTTGCATTTTGAATAAACATAAAATTCTTCTCAATAAGTAACCTTGGGGACACTTGTCTCCACTAACCTTTCTCAGTTCCTGTCTTAGAATGACCATGGTTAAAAAGCTTTGTCAGTGACGTATTTATATGCCCAATTAATTACTAAGTTTACTTTATATATTTATACAATTTTGATAACAATTGTTTTCATTTACTATAGAGCTTCAGTTCTATGGATTTTGGTGGTTAATTTGTTAAAATGCCAACATTGAGCTCAATGTTATTAAAATTCTAATATCGATCAAATTGTTCAACCAGATGGTCCCTACATTATGAGAGTTTTCTCCCTCTAGTAAAATTCAATAGAGAGAGAGAGAGAGAAATGGGGTTTAACATCCACTCGACACAAACTAGGTCATTTCGGGACTAACATATGGTTTAATTTTATTTACATAATTCGCTTGCGCGTAGGGGTCTTTAGCAGTGGGAGGAAACCGGAGGACCCAGAGAAAACCCACAAGGTTGGACAGGCGACCCTACTCCTTGCCACGTACAACCGGGGATTCGAAACCACGCCAGTCGACTCAATGACAGACTTTATGATACAGTGCGCGCACGCTAACCATTCAGCCATCCAACCCCCCTAAAATTCAATAACCCAAAACTGTCAATTAAAGAATCCTCTATCAATACATTAGCATACAATATAACTATAGTAATTAAAATATGCAATCAACATGACAAATATAATAAATGTTTCATTCTGATAATTTTTAAAATGCATTCAAGATGAGAGGATGGTAGGAGCGTGCAAGGAGAGAAGATGATAAAATGATGAGTTATTATAACTTACACCAGCAGGTTTTAATTGTTTATTCTGTCAATAAGTTTAGTATAAACAATAAATAAACATATACACAAAAACAAAAGCAAGATTGGATATTCTATAAAACCCAAAGGTTCTCTCTCCCTAACTTGGCCCTGTTATTCTAAATGCTTCTCATTTTGTGCTAGACAAAAGTGTCTAAAAATTAGTTGAGGCTTATATGTGACCCGTGCTGGCATAAAGAGTCGCAATGAGGGAATTTTGAAAATTGAGTTATTGTTGTTTTCACATTCTCCGATTCATTACCTTCAAAATGATATATAGTTGATTTGATTCAGGAAAAAAAGTTCTGAGAAAAAGTAAGTTAAAGATGTTGGTATGTTCCAAAACAAAAGAGATGCTTACGTTCACTTAAAGGCCTTTTGGTCTAGTGAAAAAAAACGAGGAGAATTTTCTCACTCGAGATTCGTCGCTTTTCAACTTTTCGTTGTTCTAATGTTTCTGAACCTTGCTGATGATAAAATTTGAAACAATAATATCCAATTAGGCATGCTTGTACATTTTATATGCCGTACAAAGCCACAGTAAAAGAAATTCACCGCCAAGCAGTGACTGGATTTCAAAATTTTTCGTCTCAGATATTTTACCGAAAATAAAGGGGCATAACTCTTATCGTTATTTAAGCAGAAGAATTCATGCCACAATTAAAAATCACATGTTGACAAAATATTCAAATCCAGTACGTAATAAAAATAGGTTAACCTCGCTATTTTTCATATTTAATTCCCATACGGTATTCAATTCATACCACAATTAAAACATGTCAACAAAATATTCAATTCCTGTACGTAATAAAAATTGGTGAACCTGGCTATTTTTCACATTCAATTCCCGTACGGCATTCAAATTTATGTCAGTAACTTTCCTACAAAATTAAGCATTTTCGTAATACATTGAATGAAAGCTTGCCGATCCTGCTTCGGCATCAAATTCACTACCGTAATATTACACAAGGGGATTACCTGATCATCCCACAGCAAGCGAAGAAAAATAACTAATTCGCTGAGAATTTTAAGAAAAAAAGAAAAAATTATGAATACGGTACCCCCACAAAACGTCCAAATAAAGGCGTTTCAAATTTTTTTATTGCTATTTTGATCTTTTAGGATGCTAGTTAGTATTTGTGAAAATCTCAATTTCCACCAAAATCAATATTTTCACTTGTTTCGACTGGAGCTCAATATCATAATTTACGCATTCCAACTCATTTAGCCAGCACGATCACATATTATTAGTATGACCTCATTCTTCAATTAATTGTAAAGAACAAGTTATCATCTACAGATGTTTAAGTGCTGAATTTCTCGGTACGTATGTGACTAAGAAACTTGAATTCAATCTTCAATACCATGTTGACAATGGGACATAACTCAACATAAATACTAACATTAAAAAAATTATTCATAGAAATCTTTCACGTAGCCTGTTCACAAGCTTTTCATATGAATGATAATGACATAGATTTATGCTAAAAAAATCTAAAGAACTACACCTTTAAATATTTAGCAAAAATGATTCTGAATGAATGAATGAATGATACACATTTCAAATGGAAATCACTGAAGCCAAAGTAAACTTTCTATACAAAATATATTACAAACTTCAAACTAATAAAAATATAGGAAATAGGTCTGTAATTATCATTCAGGATATCAATCTGTATCTTTAAAAAAAACAAAAAACAATACACGCTCACCTTTAAATACCCTGTTCTTCTACGCACTGTGTCCCAATCATTGACCAGTCTACCCCAAACATCCCATAATGTTTCTGATGGATTCACTGTAAAACAAAAGTATGTTATTGTTAATTATAAGTTAAATGTACAATACACGACCACAAAGCATTCATTTTTTTCCCCAGTTCAGCTTTTCTTTAAACTCCATTAATATTTTGGTCTTACTAGTTTACTCTTAGTTTAAAAAATTTGATTGACCGGCTAATATACATCTTCTTGGTTTAAATCCAAGCATTGATAATAATAATAATAAAAATGTTTTTTCAACGCCTAGTCATTTAGTTTTCTGCACATCAGTCTCTATAGATAAACATCCAAAAAATCTGAAAGCTCAATGCAATATAAATGTGCAAGGAAGATAATTCTGCATTTACCTGTTATCTCCCCTTAGACCACAAGCTGTGTGTTGATTATTGATAGCTGTTTGTTCTGGATTTTGGTTTTAAGTATTATTTAAAATTATACAAAGATAAAAGACAGGTTGGAGATTTGTAGTTAATAGGTCTGGGAATATCAATATTATTATTATACAGGCTGAACCTCATCCTGCACTGATTAAAACCTACAAGAAAATTCCACAAGAGGAAATAATGAAATGATCGGAATCTTGAAGAAATTGTACATGTACCTGTATTAGTACTTAAATTATCATCTTCACATGATAACTGGTTACTATAATAACTGTTTGATGATGTTGTGGAGATGACACTCGAACCGGACCCTTTTCGTGAATGTCCTGGAGTAGGTGGTAAAGCTGATAGTGAGTTGAAGGATTTTTCATCTTCTTCAAGCTTCCTGTGAAAACACACAAAAGATATTTTCATGAACATTCATCAACAGGATCATACTGCTTCAATTAAATGATATAAACAATTTTTACATTTCTGAACAAAAAACCTTGAAGCAAGCTCCTAAGCTTTATATCTGATGGTTCTTCTTAATGTTTTAAAAATCAGAATTGTTTTCAATTGGACATTTTTGAAGACAATAAAAAAAATCTATAAAACTAGATAATAGTTCCACCAGGGCTTCGGTTTCAAAATTTTGACTATCAGTTATTTTTGCTAACACATGGAAACATTGCAAAATGTTCACATTTCTATACCACTTTGTTAGTATCGTAGACATAATGATAGTATAATAATTGCCACCATTCCATGACATCTATCTCTTTACTCTAAATACAACTGAGTGTTTATATTTTACTGAATAAAGTCAATAAATAATACACCACTAAAATCAGCTCACTGTAGTTTCATAAAAGGTTGTACATGTAAAGGAAATGAAATGGGGTTTAACATCCTATTAATCTACTACGACTAGGCAAATCAAGTCGGGCAGACCCCATACAGTCTGGTATGACGGAAATTTTGCCTGGACAGCGACGCTACGGCCTACCATTATATTGAATTCCAACTGCCAAGGGATCATTTACATGCACAGGACTTCTCTGTTTTTCGTACTACCCAAATGACTATATGTTAGTCCTTCGCCGGGCAGTCTCAGGCCCTCTATCCTGCAACACTGACAATGGAATCAACACACCAGAAAATGCCCATGACCTCTTATCTGCTCAAACACAGGACCTCCAGGTTACCCAGCTATCGTCTTTCTCACTTAGCCACCACGGCTCTATAAAGGTTTTAAAAAATTTAATGAACAGTTGAATTATGTTGGTGTTGATTTGTTTACAATGAAAAAATCGCACGTGTCCCTTACATTTCATAAATCCTAGAAATTACACATATACATGTACATGTACATGTTTATACAGTTGTTAAAATTTCATAATTAAAATGAAATACAAAATGCATATCAAAATTTTTGGAAAGATAAAAAAAAAATTCTAAATTATACATTGTGAAGATACAGTTGATCCCTGGCCCTAGGCTGTATTTCCATATTTCAGATTCATAATTCAACAATATATGATATTTCTGCTCATTTCTCAACATACAAATTGCGAATATAATCTACCTTATAATCTATAAATATCCCTGGCAAACCAATGCATTGAAAAACATGTGCAACAAATAGTTATTAAAGTTGTACTGAAAAATCTGTTTTATTCAGAAGTAATTATTTTACTTTTGACACTTTGACTTGTACCAAGTATATGTACATTATACTAGGGAATATCCCAGAATTTGGGGAAGTGTGGGTGTTGGTGTAGGAGAGTGTGTGAAATTGTACTCAAAATACCTTACCTCATTGCAAGTTTGTGAGAGAATTTTCGATAATTAGGTGACCCTAAGGTTATTTTCAATATGATACATGTAATATCTGAAGAAAATAACATTTATTTTATTTTCTTTCTTGATTAGTTTGATAATGCTTTAAAAACAAAAGAAAATGTTGGCAATTTAAGATGATAGATATTTCATTCTATCAATGAGTCAAGGTAAAGAACCCTATGTACAAGCGAATTATTGAAATAAAATTAAACCATATGCTAGTCCTGAAATGACCCTGTTTGTGTCAAGTGGATGTTAAATCCCTCCCTCTTTTCAATTGATAACCGTCAGATTTTGACAATCTAAGTAAAACAGCAATGTAAAAGGTGAAATAAAAACCTAAAAACTAACAGAACTTTACAGTGTAAAATTTACACAGACGTAAACTGATGTAGCTCATGGTTTAAACAGTTTTTTAACACCAGTGTAAATCAACAGACTGTTCAAATTAACGTTTAATATAATTCACAAGTTTTGTAGATTTAAGCAGATGTTTGAGTAAGTTTTTGTTTGGTGAGGTGACTGTTTGTAACTAACAGGATACACATTACCGTTTTTTATTTGTACTGAAGGCCTTTAAATTTGTCTTCACTTCAATTTCGGGTGCTATTGGTACAGGTACATGTATCAAGACATTATGAAATTATTGGAAATTTGTTTGTATGATATTCAGTTACTGGTACCATTCTCTAATTTTTTAAAAGATACAGTACACAACAAGCAAAACTACTTTATCAACACTGCTCTATAGGTTAGAGCTTTTGACATTTGGTTTTTCAAACTTTCCTAGGCTTTTTGGCGAGTCCTACGGAGAAACCCTATCAAAATATATCATAATGCCATGATTTTTCAGAGTTGCTGTCCCTGTTAACAGTTTTATAGAAACTTTGTAATTGTTCTGTAGGTCAGAGTTGTTTCCATTTAAAAAAACAACAACAATTTGCTGAGATTGTTCAGTTAATCATACCCTATTGAAATAAAACTCTACCAGTGCGTTATATGTATTGACATTGTCGATGCAGCTAAATATACTAGTGGTAAAAATATAAACATTTCCTGACAACACTATAGCATTAGAATCTATGTCTATCTATATGTAGCCAAAACAAAACATTTATATTTTAATCAATGTTCTCTTCAATGCAATAGTATGCTGTTGCTTTGATTATAAAATGTTAATGCCAAGTATAAATAGGTTTACTTAATTATATTAGCATTTCTACAAATCACAAAAACACACCTGATTACTCTGTCACATCCTTTTCTCATTATATTTATTAAAGGGGCCTTTCCCAATAAATTTAGAAAATATAAGTACATGTAGTTATATAATTTGGTGTGAAAGCAGAAATGTTTGTCCTAGTAACATACAACTTTCTGAAACTAAGTTTTTCGAAAATTACAAGTAGAAAGTATCCTAAGCTGCAGTAGTGTCTTCATAATCATGTCTAATAGCTTGCCACAGTGTGGTAGGGTGACCCGTGCACTCTACAGAAAGTTGGTCTCGACACGGCTAAATGTACACGCTTCAGTTGCGTGTCTCGAACTGATTTCTGACTACCCCGCGCTATCTTTGAGTCGAAAAATAGCCATGGCACGTGCAATTCTCTACAAATATATCAACTATTACAGCCGTAAAAAATCTATTGTTGACGATTTTGAATAGCAGTAAAATTTAGCTTCTTGGTTATTACAGCAGCTTTAGAAATTACGTTTGTTTTATTTTTTTAAAATTGCTTTGTCATTAACTGTACCGTTAAGAGCGGCATCTTTTGGTTTAGTACAAATAATATCTCTGAATCACTTTCGTTAGCAGGAACATGATACTAGCAGTAGTTTCATTTTACTTTTACAAGTTTCTTAAAACAATTGTTGAGTTGTCTAAAGTGCTAATTTCTAAATTCAATTTCTTGTTCTAGCTTTCTGTTATGTTTCGTAAAAAAGTAGTCTTGATTATCCCGACCTGTCAATCAGACGTAGAATGGTCGATAGACTGGTTAAGCGAGACTAATTTCAAAACAAGGGCATGTAACCTATCTTTTACTCAAAAGTGTCTGGATGTTATGGACGACACTTGGAACCAGTTTTCAGTCTATTATTTATAGATGATTAATGGTCATAGCTTATTAAGTACAACATGATCATTTATTTAGTGACTATAATTGTGTGAAACTGATTTGAAGCTTGGCATATATATAAATATTGTGGCGTAATTGTCGAGATATTTGGAGATATATATTTTTATGGTGGGTCACCCTAAGTGTGGTCATATTTATTAGGTCACTCATTTAAGCAACAGACAAAAACTCTTTCTGAACAGTCAAAGTATTTTGAGCTCAAACTTTCTGGTTACATACTCTAAAATTTGGGACAGCTCCTTCAATCAAAAACTGATTAAAATGATTAAATTTAGGATAACTAAAGTGAAGAGGAATGAGATAAGTATAGATGGACGAATGGACCGACAAATGGATAAGGGCAAGAGAGAGAGAGAAATGGGCTTTAAAATCCACTTGACACAAACTAGGTAATTTCAGGACTAACACACAGTTCAATTTCATTTCAATAATTTGCTTGAGCGTAGGGGTCTTTAACAGTGGTAGGAAACTGGAGGACCCAGAGAAAACCCACAAGGCTGGACAGACGACCATGTTCTTTGTCACGACAAGTGGCGAATTTAAAAAAAAACATGCCACTAGACTCAATGATAGACCTTACGATTTATAGCTCACAAGTTAAACCATTCAGCCACCCAAACCCCTGGATCAGAGCAATGACAATGTATATGGTACTGCCAGATGTGGGCATACAAAAAAAAAATCCTGTTAAAGACTTTTGATATTTAAAACTGTTAGTGTTAAAACAATCACCGTACTCTGAGCAACTATTTATTAGAACAACATATCTACAGAATCAATTTCCCCCCCATGTTACCCTACTCCCTCGATAATCAATTCATCACAACATCAATACTGCAAACACTGTTTTATGTAATTGTGTGACTGTCCAAATTGAGCATTTCTGACAACCTTTTGACTTTTTACATACATTTGTAATTAACTAAAGCGCACAAAATGTTTGATTTGTCAAGACAAATCTAAGATAAAAAGATTAGAATCCTAATGTACTACCACAAACTGTGTACTGTGTTACAGCTTATTACAATACGCCTACAGAGAAATATCTTGTCTGTTATAAAGAGGGTTGAATAGAGAGGAATGTTTTTAATGACAGTAGTTTTTACATCTGTAAAAAACATTATCTTTAACCTGACTAACTCCTAATTGATTCTATTCCTTCCTTGAAAATGAAAATAACTACCAAATAGTATAGCCACCTGGTTATACAGCATTGCCTCAAAAAAATTCAAGGAGTTTTCAAGGACTCAAAAGTACTAGTTTTTTAAGGAATTGCTATGCAAATTCACATTTTAAAAAGAAAACTGAAAAATATAAGCCGATATGAAAATAACTACAGTGTATGTACATGTAGCTAACGCACTGCTTGGATTATAACAGATATGCATAAACAATTTAGTTTTCAATGACTGGTCACCAAGGACTATAGGCAAATTCAAATAAAGAAATTTAAAATTTACAAATTAAGCCTAATCTAATCACTCACCAGTCACCACATTCATCCACCCCAAAGGAATCATCATATTAAGAGATTCAAGTTATTGGAGTATATATCCGATGTTACAAAAAATTCTAGGTGTAGAGATATATATATAAATGCAGAATATATATGCACACAAAAAGCTAAAATGACAGTCTGAATATTATGTGTCATTTTTAAAGTTTAGTTATCTCTATAAAATTAACATGCGACTGTCGCTTTTCTAAAAGCAAACGCCCAGCTATTTGATTTTAGTAAAGTGTTGATCTGGTCAAGTATGAATTATGTGTTAATTTCATTTCTGAGATGGATATCTTTCCATATTCACACTTTCTATAGAAAATAAAACACTAGGTCAAAGCTGCAATACACCAGAAGGCCACTAATCATTTTCTTACATGTACGTATTGAGATTTAACAAAAAGAAGGGTTGAAAGTACCTATCTTGAAATATCATCTTCAGCTCAAGTTCAAGAACAGAAATGAATTATCCTTCAGCCATTGACTGACAATTCCAGGACAATAAAGATGGTGATGTGGATTAAATAGGATTTAATGAGAATTTCGGATGATAAAAGTTAGGACTGATCAATTTTAATCAATTTTGGACCGATATGCCTTTCGGTGAATCAGCTTTTTATTGTGTTTGTCCTACATTTATCTTTTAGTCTGGTACAGAATACTGGTCATTTTAACAGACATGCCCTTGTCTACTGTTGACCAAAATAGAGAGGTATATAAGCTACAATAACCTACCGATTGGCTTCCTCCAGTTTAGCCAAAAGATCTTCCTCCACGGGGACATCTTCATCTACATTTATTTTCTCCGTCGGTTCTTCGTTGTTGTTCATCGTCGGCGGTTTGTGGGGGATAGGTGTGGACGTTTGGTTTTCCGTTGGGATTGTGGGAGCATCTTCATTGCTCTCCATGATAAAATATGGTGTGAGCTTGTATCATCTAATGACGCCATTGACTAGAAGCCTCTAATACACAATGCACCTTGTTACACCTGTGAAAAGACAAGAAATAGATAATTTACTTATAACATGTACAACCCTAGACTTCCATCTTGATTCATATAATTACATTTACATGTAGACAATGCAAAATCTTTGTGGAAGAAATATTGACTATTTTTGAAACACAAAGGCTTTATTGTCAGCTTACATCTTAACTAGACCATTTAAAAAATCCCACAAAATGACTTGAATTATATCACATTGCAGTGTGGTGTGTCAAGCAGAAATTAAAAATTCATATTAAATTCATATATAAATGATTCCCAACACTGTTAATTATGTATGCTAGGTTTGATGTGATAGATAACATACCTCCAGTAGGATGGGGTATCATTATTTTGGAATGGTTCAATTCCGTACTCACTCTATGTATGTTTTAATGATTAATACTGACATCAACATATAAAAAATAAGACAATGTTCTGACTCAATTAACAGAATTTTGACAACTTTTAATCAAAATTTAAATATGTAGAAACAATTTTCTTTTTATGTATGTAACAAACATTTACTACAATAAAACAGTATACCTTAGATAATTTTCTCACTACAGACCCCTAAAGTGGACATACTAGAAACTGAAGGATGACATCAAAAAATGCCTGGCACTCTAAGGTTAAAACAGACATAACATTGCTGGCACCAAAAGGGTTAAAATACTGTGATCATGTTGACTAACGCTAATCATACAAATCTCTTCCTAAACTTTTAAACTAAAAGACACACAAATATTTGACAAACTATTGACTTCTTATGCCCTCTGGCTTTTGATAAACTCATTGTCTATGATTTAATGTTTAGGCCACAACAATTTGAATTTCACGAAAACCTATTAAAATCTTGTTTCTTGAATCTTATTTCTTGAATCTTATTTCTTGGGAAGGGGGGAATATATAATTTAAAAAGAAAAGAAATACCTGGCTGCTCCCCTCAGATGCTTTTTGTTCAAATTTTAAAAATTGAAAGGGATTGAGTAACAAGTAACAACCTATATGACGTCTCTTTGAATTAAATTTAAACCAAACATTATTCAAGAGATTTAGCTGGCTATCTCTTCAACAAGACCTCACTTCATGAACTAAGAATTAACTAGTGTTGGTCATGTCAGTTTGTCAATTTTGTTTTTGTGCAATCTGGAAGGTAATTTCAACAAGGTGATCAGCAGCACAATCTATCACGTGAAAAACCTAGAAGAATTGAAATGGTCACATTGCCATGGAACACAAAATAAACTTAATACGTCAATGTTTAGTCATGGTATAGTTGATATCTCAACCAGCCCTCAGTCTCCCATCATTAATATATACACACAGATCGGCATTAAAGATGTGGAATTCAGAAGTCAGAACACCATACTTATTTAACAGATTTAAAATGAAAGACAAATACACAAGTATGACAGAAATTATTAGCTATGTGAAATTCAACATTTTTAAACAAGTGTATCAGGTGTTCTTTACAGTGTAAGTAGCATACACTGCCTTATGTACGACAACTGTTATTAGTTGTAGAAAGCATGTTGTAAATGGTTAGTATAATACAGGTTAACCAGTCTATAGTTTGGTTAAACAGGTGAAATGGTTAAAAAGCAACTACATTTGTACTGACCAATGACTAACAACAACATTACTTCTGGTCACAACTCTTCTCTCCATTCCCAGAAGTAAATTTTTCTGAAGTAAGTATCAACCCTGTAAGTATTCACTGTGACACAAACTTAAATAAAACTACTGAATCTTACCATCTCCAACATTGATTCATGCTTTATTGCCCTTGCGATATTTCAATATTTGTTAGGATTTGCAGCATGGGTTAGTTCTTTCTTCAAAATTTGTCAGTTTAAATGATAATCTCAAATGGTTTAAGAGGCCATCAAAATATACCAAATATCTACATTTTTTTTATTCTACACAAATGGCAGCTAGACTTTAGAATTTGTCCACTACTCAAATTAGCCATACCTACATGAAGATGTGTATTATTACAGGTTATAGGTACATGTGTAGTGTAGAAAAATTGTTATTCTGTGATCTTTCTCATAGGCCACCATTATACATAGAGTCATCAGAATAATTACATGTACATTAACAGCAATCATTAGCTATACAAACTCCTTCCCCCCCCCCACCACCACCACATCAAAATGACAAAAAACAACCTATCACTGTGTGTACATTTAAAAAGCAAAGCCATTAGATTTAATAGCTGTAGGTAGGTATTGCTGTTCAATAAAGCAAGCAATATAACTACACAGGAAACCCATCAATAAAACATAGTTGTTTCACCTACATGTACTATAGTATACATAGTATGTATATTATAAATAAATAATACATAAGCTCTTATTGACCTGATAAATACCTACAACCTTTAGACAGGTAGCATTATATCACACTACTATTACACTCTACTACAAATCACTGGGACATATTGGCTTCTTTGTACCAGGTGCATTTTAATATGAGGAATTTTACCTGAATATCAAATTTTGTTTTGATCAGATTGATTGAGGTCAAAATAAAGTATTGAATTAGGTTGATCTGATGAGTTATTTTAAATGTTTGTTTCGAAAGTCAGCTTGTTTAATACTAAGTTTAGTTTTATTATTGTCAAAATGTGTTGACAGTTGAACACTAAATCAGTTATATATCAACCCTGGTTTCATCTGTAGATGTAAAATTTCAACAAAGACAGATTGTCATCCCACTAAACAAAACAACATATCATAACATCTAGTGAAAATGACAATATCCAAAATCAAAGAGATTCAGTCATTTTATTAGTATTAGTTGTGCCAGCTTCAGTGAGAATAAGAACAGTTAAATGTTATGAACTTAATGGTTTTCTCTTTTTTCTATTTATTTAATAGCATGTTGGAATGTTAAAAAGGTTGTGAATAAATCATGATGAAAAACGATTGGAATCTCCAATGTAAAATCCTTTACAATTTTTAAAGAATGATTTTTATTACAGAAAAGGAAGCTTTGACATTAAATATATATCCATGGTTCACATGAAAATAGAAAGTAATTTCTGTAAATTTTATGAAATGCGTTGAATCAATCATTAAAAATGCAAATATTGCAACAATCACCTCCCTGAAGAATCTGTCCGTACTGTACATGCATTATTTGTTATCAATTATTATGCTATATGAATATATTATACTTCCTATAATAAACTTACATATTTCTGCTTGATTACGCTATGAATATATACTCAAAGCCATTAAAAACGCAATGCCTAATTCGTGAAATATTTCTGGTAAATGTTTTCTTGGGCTTTCCTATCTTATGGCACATAGGTGAAACTTGTGATGGGCCTTTTTTTGTAGAGTTCTGGGTTTGAACACAATATCAGTTTTCAGTAATGAAACACTTTTCTTTTTTCACAAGTAGTCCCATGTCACCAAGCCTGGAAATAAGGCACCTGTCACTGACAATGTCAGGCACAGATTCAGGCTTTGTCAGGCACTAAACCTCTGGTGCCTGCCATTTTGTCCGGCACTGATTTGTCTTTTTTATTGATATTATTAATACATGTCCGACACTAAGTTGAAAATGTCAGGTACTATTTCATTAGTGCCTGACAATTTGTCAGGTACGTGTAAAACCGTTATTTCCAGGCCTGCATGTTGCACGTGCATTCCCTGCACTCTTGCCCTTTAATTTAAATACAGATCAAAATTACAACATTCATCACTTCGGAAAAATGCCACGCCTTACACAAGAAAACAGGAACAGATCTATTGGCATGCTGGATCAGGGGACATCCCGGGTAGCCGTCGCCAGACACTTTAATGTCCACCCATCGACCATTGCCCGCCTCAGACAATGCTTCCACGCCACTGGAAGAGTTGCCGATCGACCCTGACCTGGAGCGCCACCTGTAACAACAGTTGCTCAAGATCGCCACATCCAACTACAGCATCTGCCAGGGGAACTGTTGTAACACGGCAACGTCAGATCGGCCCTCATACAGTCAGAAGACGCCTGGCTGCTCTGAGGTTATGCTGCCGTCGACCTTACCAAGGTCAAATCCTTTTACATCAACTTGCCAGACAGCAATGGGCCGCAAATCAGGGGTATCTGCACAACACACCATGGCAAAACTCAGTTTTCCTGATTGATGTCACCGCATCTACCGACGTCGACATGAACGCTTTGCTCGTAACCCGATCAAACACCTTTGGATGAACTTGGACGAACTGTTGCAGAGTTGGCACAGGCACTCCTAAATCATTGGCAAACAATCCCACAGCGTGTAGTGAGACATCTGTGCCAGTCCATGCATGCCAAGGCGACTTCAGGCATGTTTAAGAGCTCAGGGTGGACATACCCGATATTGACTTCAGCTGACCCCTGCTTTGTTTCAAGGTTCTCTGAAGTTTCGGTTTTGTGCATTGGTAGTGAATTCTTTCATAAAATTATCCACCGATGCTTGCTATTCCGATTTTGTCAATTGTTATGTACATTTGTTAAAAGTTGTTGCAGTAAATAAACTTTGAATTTGGCATTGCGTTTTTAATGGCTTTGAGTGTATTAATAATTTCTCTGTCTGTAAGTGTAAGAAAATGTCTTGGGAGCAAGCAGCTTTATTTCAAAGCCATTTAGACAGTTACCTTATGGACAACATTATTGTTATTGTTAAAGTGGTAATAAGAAAATGTTTCAAGCTATCCTGAAACTATGGATCTGAGCAAATCCATTTCAACAAATCTGAACAATCACCACTCAAGCAACATGCATGTACATGTATCTACAAAATTTTAAGAATCATTGAGAAGTTTACAAGTCAGAAATTTGTTAAAAATCTAGAATAGACCCTTTAAAGATGCATTATGTATGATTTAGATAAAAAAAAAATAACCTGGCTGTTTTTGCTATAATAGTTCAAAAATAAATAATGAAATATGAAAAGATCAAAAATTATATTCAAATTATGACTGTTTGATGATGTAGTGTTGTTTAGCATAGCAAAAGGAACTTGA